AAACGGCTTAGTTTCAAATAATATCTTGTTTTTAGGGGTCCGCATTTGGTTAGCGTACTTGAAATCACCCGCCTCAAGAAGTGGACCATCTAAGGTTACTGTTGCCATATACAACATTGCCCGGCTTGACTGCGCGGCTGCCGACACTAGTACCAGCAGAACAAAAACAGCGGGAGCCACAGCAGCAATAACGGCCATTGAACGATTTCCTGCTATTGGCTCCGAGATGGCAGACGTGTTTTGGTTCAACTGGGTCCTACTAGATGGCACGACCTGTTCAGTTTAACCAGGCCAAAGTTGAACTTTTGAACTACTCACGCCATTCTCCATAGTAATGTCCGGTGGTTCTTTTTTCTGTGAATCAAAGGAAAACGAAACAAGCAGCATTTAATTACATCTCATGATCCACAGAAGGGTCTTTATTTAGTGGAAATAGTTGATTACTAGTGAATAATTGTAGGTGGTACGTCTGACGATATCAAGATCATTTTGTGAATGTCCTATCACAGTGCATGTGTTCTCGTGCATTTACCCTAATTCCTAAGTAAGTAGGGCACTGCTTGGGATACTAGTGTCGTTTTAGACACCATACATTAAGCTTTCACTCTGTAGTAAGTTCTTGAAATCTGTAAAGACAACTATATCCATCCGCCTGGCCGCCATTCTAGTAGGACGAACCATGATAAATGTATACGTCCCTTCAGTGCCCACAGCAATGTGTTTAAATATTCCTTTTTTCCTCGTGCTGTCAACGCTTGGAACGCGCTACCAGGTGAAGCTGTTAATATTACAAATATTGATGAATTTTGTTCTTTTGTGGAGCAGGTAACAGAGCCAGTATAGTTATATTTTGTTGCTGTTGTTCTTGTTGCGATAACGAAAAACGTGTTTTATAGTGGTTAAGTGTACTCTTTTGTACATATATATTGTTTTTCATGCGTAGTACGTGGTTTTTATTTTTTTTTTTCTCGTCCTCTCGTGTATGGGAAGAGCACCGATGTAGTATTGTTGTATACAGTCGAACCCGGGTGTATCGAACTCACCGAAAAACGTTTATTAGTTCGATATATGGTATAATTAAATATAGGCCCGGTATAGGTTTTGACACAAAGGCACATAAATAGAAGAAAAGTATTATAAATATGGTGGCTTACTTGCGTGCCCTACAGTAGAACAAAATAGTCCCGGATTTTTTCTGTGTCAACGACTTCGCTGCCTGTGACAGCACGCATGCCTCCACGTTGTCCAACGAGTCGGAGCAGCTGAGGCCGCAGCCTTCCACATTCAAGCAATAGCGCCAGACCAACGCAAGTGCACTAATCACTTCGGAGGATGTAGGCAATGGGCCGTCGTCGATTTCCATATTGCTGTCGCTTTGGCTCGTGGTCGGCACGGCGTCTGCAATGTAATCCTCACCCTGTAATTGGCCCATGATGGGCACATCGTCGTCCGCACTGATGAACTCGTCGAATGTCGATCCGTCGATAGCACCCGGGAACTCTGCCAGCTCGTTCCAAACTTCGGCGAAACACCTGCGGTGTCTTCAGTGCTGTCAGAATTTGGGGTGTCATCACCAGGCATGCGGAAGCTGGCATGCCTAAAGCAGTTCTGGATCGTCTCCTTCTTGTCATCTGCCCACTATCTATTCAACATAGAAATAGCTCCGAGCAAGTCGATCTTAAGCTCCCTGCCGACACGAAGGTTCTGCAGCAGCCTCTCCACCAGGCGTTTCCGATAGCCGGCTTTCATTGCGCGTATAACGCCTTGATCCAGTGGTTGCAGTACAGACGTAGTGTTCGGGGGCAAAAAACGAAGCTCGATGTTGCTGAAGGTCCTACTGCAGTGGTGCGATGAACAATTGTCCACGAGCAGGCACACCTTGCGATTTTCGCCTACCAAATCATCATTCCACGGCGATAGCCATCTGCTGAAAAGCTCCCCAGTCATCCACACTTTTGAGTTTGCTCGGTAGGTAACTGGAAGCGACAGCGCATTTTGAAAACACTGCGGTGCCGTGCTTTTTCCGATAACCAGAGGTCGAAGCTTTTTCGATCTGTCTAAATTAGCTGCCAACAGCACGGACACACGAGCTTTGTTTGCCTTGCCGCCGCTCGTCTTGTCGCCACGACACGCAAGCGTCTTGTTTGGCAACATTTGCCATAGTATAGCGGTTTCATCCGCATTGAAGATATCTTGGGCTCTTTATCTTGCTGTGATATCTCGCCAGTTTTCCTTGAGCCATTTTTCTACGCTGCCCACGTGCGCTGCTCTGCTTTCACCTGTAACAGCTTTGCCAACGATGTGGTGCCGTTCTTTGAACCGCTGACGCCAGCCTGAACAGCCTTGGAAATCACTCCTGCCAAGCAGAAAAGCAAGGTCCTTGGCTTTCTGCTCGATCATAGGGCCGGACACTGGGATGTTTCGCAACCGAACGTCCACAAACCACTTGTAAACGGCCGCTTCAACATCTTCGTACACAGCAGCACGCACACGTCGGGCGCCACGGGCACCTGGCTTTTGTCCGACTTGGCCCTGATGTCTGCCTTGTTCTTCAGGATAGTACTCAAGGTGCTCCTTAGAATTTTGTACGCGGCGGCAATGTCGGACTTCTTTTCACCTCGCTCAACCAGATTGATGATTTCGAGTTTCGTGTCGAACGGCAAATTTTGCCTCTTTGCACAAGCCGTGATGACAGCGCGCCAATACAGTTCACAGAGCACCAACAGGCAATACCACAGACCACGCTGAATCGGCAGCAGCAGGCACACAAGCATAATGAAAGAAAAAACGGCGCTCACTTTTACCGCCTCCGCGCTTCGGAGAAAGCACGACGGCCTCCGATTGGCTGTAAGCGCTGCGAGCGGGCCAGGATCATTTCTTGGAGGGGGGTGTTCGCCGCGCACAACCGGGTCTAACCACCTTTTTCGAGGGTGGCGCCGGCAGTTTACTCCGCCACCGCGAGGGAAAGCCAACTTGCTGGGGCACTTTTGAGGCACATGGAGTTTGATATATCAGTTGTCGTTGCTATTTTCGTTCGATAAAACAGTAACTTTTGCTATATATTCTCAATGTAAACTTACCGTGTTTAGGAATTGTTCGATATACGGGATAATTTTATATAAACGGGTTCTATATATACTCGCTATTGTAAGTGTTCGCTGTTGTGCGTATCATCCCTCAAAATATTGTATTTCCTCAACTTTGTACCTAATTGGTTACCTGTGATGTTGTATGCCCACTTCCTGTATGGGTCTGCAGAAGACCTACAGCATTGTTAAATAAATAAATAAATAAATAAATAAATAAATATTTGACTTTAGTGTCCCTTTAAGGTTTGCAGTCTTGCTTATATTTCATGCCTAGCAGGGAATTTCTTAAAAATGGGTTTGACATGCATTGGCACCAACTAAAACTTTTTAATATCACCCAATGGCCCTCAAGTAATACTAAAAAGTTAATTGTCAAATTTTCTGGTAATTAGTTTTGTCAAGGCCATTCAAGGGGTCTTTGGGACCAAAAAGTGACAGAAAAATTATTTTTTATAATTGACATATTTGGTTTCTGCGAGTATGTTTCTATCATTCTGCAAGTTTTCACACACCAGGAAGTGGTAATTTTTTTGTAATGTCGTTCTAACTGTCCATATTCTTAGTGCTGTTAACATGCAGAACCTGCAAAAAAATAGGGAACCAACTTCGAGGCTTTTTATAATTTGCCGGCACCTGTGTTAGAAGCTCTGCTACAAATTTATGAACACCTTTATGAGGATTACAAAACATGCACACCATGATTGTTGCTTTTTGAAGAAGCTGCGTGTTTTCAGTTTTTTCCCTTTTTCTCAAAAAAGTAAATTTACGACTTTTCAGTTTTGAAGCCTCAATATCTCTGCTGCTAGGGCAGGTACAACAATAATTCTTTTTGCAATGTAAACCTGTATATGTGTTGAATGCAAGTATGGGAGGAGAATTGAGAGCACAGGCCTTTTTTATTAATTACTCATCGAAATTATAGCACAATTCCAACTGCTTTTGAAAATGTATAGTTAATTTTGCTGTAAAATAATAAGAAAGGCTTAAAAACAAAAAAAACTCTAGCATACTTTAAATCTATAGTCATTAGTGTATATTGGTATATTTTAAATGTCACATTTAATTAAGCATCTTTTTTCTATGGTGGCCTTAAACAATAGAAGGTGAACATGAGTTAAGGAAAACTAATGAAATATTTGAAATCAGCAGAAAAACTGTATAATCCTGTGCAGTTTGATCAAGGCCACTGAAGAATTAAACAAAAAAATGTCTAAGACCAGTCTGCCCCACTAAGTTGTGACAAAGTATTTTTCTCTTGACGTGGTGCACATACGTGAAAATGACTGGAGTGTGATTGTCACAGAATTTTCATTTGAAAAATCTGTATTTTCTAAAAAAAATCTGTATTTTGCATGAACCTTATAGCTAGATGATTAATATTTTCATGACATGCATTGAGGACGTCATAAATGCTCTACAAAAAAAAAAATGTGGGCTATGAGCTCTGTCTTTTTTTTTTGTTTTTTTGAAGTTTCAATGTTTCATGCAACAAGTATAAATATGAGTTTATTATTTTAAAAACTCATTACTACATTTGCCCCCACGTAATTTGCCTTATTTATGTTTGGTCATTAGAAAATAAAATTATCACTAATGTGTTGTCTTCTGTATTAAAGACATGAATCACCCTAATTGCTGTATAACCTCAGTCACTTCTGCTGAAGGAGTATTTTAAAATACATGATACTGTGTACAATGTGTAAGAAATGCCAATACCTGACTCCCTGTGATTTTCTAGTAGTGATACGAGAGAGATACTCGATGAGTATCTTCAGATACCGGCCTGCCCAGCTTCGAACTAAGTTGGTGCCATGGTGTGGATGCATCTCATGGAATCTGTGCTGTTCTTTGCCATGAAAGGAGATGTCTCGGGAGTGTCGTCATGAGGTGCTCACAGCCTTTGCCCTGCAGATGCGCAGACACAGGACATGGATATTTCTCCACCAGCTGGAGGTGGGAACACACCAAACAGCACCCCGGAAGCAGTCCGCTCCTCAGCATCTGCTATGCTTCTGCCACAGTCACCAGTGACACTGGCCCAGTTGCCCAAAATGATGTCGCAGCTGGCTGGCACTCGTGGACTCCCCAAGTTGGACGACATGTCTCCACAGGAAGGTCAGCAAAGGCGAAAGGACTCTCTGCACGCTATGTGGTGGTTGGCTCTTCTGCATGTGCTTGGCTGTGCTGCATGAGACAAAAATGGCTGGCATGACTCAAGTGCAGCTGGCGCTTGCACGCTGTTCCTTCCTCTGACGTGCTTTGTAGTGAGTGAAAAAGTATTACACTCTGTATTACACATTGGCAAAGGCATTCCTAGTCTTTGAATGAATAATTGCACATAATAAATGGACTATATTTCAGCTTTTTGCTGATGTTCTTAGTTGTTGAAATCGCATGGTGCTGCTAGCTTTTTGCAGCACTTGCAATGGGCACCCAATTTAAGATTCCAAACACCATTTCCTTATTTTTCATTACACCACACCTGCTTGTTGCCATGCTGCACATTCTCAATTTTGGTTGCAGATACGTCTTTGTCTGCTCTTTTTTTTTTTTTTGCAAGAGGGGAGAGTGCAGAATTTTGGATTGATACATAACACAAAATATAGCAATCCTAGTACTTATTAGGTATTACCAGCTCGTGTTTTAAAAGGGCTGCAGCTTATATTTGGTCTATTGAAATAACACAAGTGTGGCTGCATCCATATTCCATTTTACCATCTAGCACACAACTTGTGGCAGTGAAAACTGATGACAGGCACATCAGACCTTGATTTTTGTTGTGTGCTCGATGCCGGAATTTGGCTGTACGTGTTATAAACTATGCTGTAATTATCAGCATCTACCCGATTCCAAGCGCCCCCTTTCACGATCGTGATACTAGGGGAGTCGCTTAGATTCGAAAAATCTAAAAATGGCCACATGGCCCAACCCCTTGTTGCAGCAATATTTTGATCGGATGCATTTGGCAAATCGCACTTTGTTTGGTGAACAGTAGAAATAAAAATTTGTGGACAGTGAAGTCACCACTTCTGTTTAAAGTCTATCACTCTCGCATATGCTTGAGTTCGTTGCACCGATTGAGCCTGTGCTCTCGGTGTCCCACAACAGATCGTCCTCTGCGCCGTCCAAGTTGTGCGGGATCAAACACTTCCTAAATGATTAAAAGGGTACTGACATCATTTTTTGAAGGCAAGTTCACGCTACCATAAAAATCTCCTATATGCTGTACACAGGGACGATTTTGAGCAAGTGTGAAGCTGAGCAAATTCCGAGATACTTTATTTTGATATTATAATCCCAATTTTTTAATGGTGCAACTACCAACATTGACACATTGACAATAGCTTGATGTCAAGCTACAGTACTACCGTATTTGCTCGAATCTAGGCTAACCTTGATTCTAAGCTGACCCCCAAAAGTCTGAAGCCCAGGGGGGTTGAATGTAGGCTGAACAAAACAGCGACAGCGTGTTCACATAGAGAAAACTTTTATTGAACATGATATGAAACAAAAGATTTGGTTCATTATGCAAATAACTGGAGAAAAATACAGCTACTAGTCCTGTTGTGTGTTTCTTTGTCATCTTTTTTTTTTTGCGGCTTGATAGCAACCTTTTCAAGCTTGGTTTGGTTTTGTTCATAAATTTTTGTGCGCATTTTGTTCAGTTTTGTTCGGTTTGTTTTCCACAGAACAGCAGCGATCGCAAAAAAACTTTTTCTATGCATCCTGCCTTTAATTTTTGGTTTCTCCTGTTGTCTTTGTACACTTGAAATTCCCCACTAGCTTTTGAAAAGCTGCTGTAGTGCTGGTGCCCTTTTGCTGGAATTTGCGGAAGTGAATACATAGAAAGCCTAGTGTGATGATCATCGTGCAGGGCCTATACTCCGTCTCGGGAGTTCCCTTCAGCTCCATTAAGGCTGTGGGACCCCTTGGCCAATAGGAATGGCGTTAGTCCCTCCACATGTATTCACCTGTGCTGCCTTGTCTCCTAAACATCCCCACTGACGTCTGCACACTCACACGTTCAACAAGCAGACAGCAAATAGAATATGGCTGCACACGAGGATGCTGGTGCCCTCCACCTCGCGCTCTAATCTTTGTAGGACGGCCCTTATTGGAAAGCGAATTCTTCGCTGCGTGGTAACTAGCAGGGCGGCTTGGCCCTTGCGTGCAGGAGCCTAGTAAAGGAGCGACTTGACTCGTTGGTGACAGTTTCAAGACTGTGTTATTGAAGGTGACTAGAAGGTTAGAAAGGAGAGAGAAAGGTAGAGTAGGAAGAAGGAAAGATCGGAGCCGGTCCCACAAAGGTTACTGTGGGAATGTTGTGGGCAAAACCTCCTTTGCTCCTGTCAGTTTTGTGTTGGTGGCCCTTCTCTTAACCCGTGAAATTGGGCAGCGAAGATGAACTTCTGCAGCGGCATCTGTACAGAAGGAAGGCAGGACAAAGCCTTTGGAATTCTTAACATCCTTTTCCGCAATGAGCACACACTCATTCCTGGTCATCTTTGGCCTATGGTGGCTGTTTAGGGGTTGAGCTCAAGCGGGTAAAAGGCTTGCACTGGTTGTCCAAGTTTCCTTTTGTTTGGCAGCAGTATTTGGCTTGCGCATGTTTGACCATCTCTTTCTAGGAAAATTTTCAGAACACGGCACAGTTTCCACATTTGGCGAGGAGTTCTTTCATCTTCTAGGGGAATGATATCTCCCTCATTGATGCTTATTCGTTTCCCTGCCTTTACTACATGTGCAGAACGCAGTTGCAGAAGAAATTCGAGTTTCCAGCATCGCCAGAATAAGTCAAGAACGGTGCTGCACTGCTTCCATCGTCAGATCGGCCTATCTGCGGTCGATTTCACTTCTGGTCAGCTTGTTAGTTTGCGGCCAACCAGAAAATGTGCAGGAGTCAAAAGCACAAGCTCCCCCGCATCCAAACAAACAAAGGTCGAAGGACGTAAGTTAACCAGAACTTCTGCCTGTGCTAAAACTGTGAAGAGGATGCCGTTATCGAGCCAGTGTTCTTGAAATTGTTATTTTCCAGAGTTCAGGAAGCCGCCGGCACCATTTGTCCCACCTCTCCTGCACATCTGGAGGCATCTTGTCATCCCATGCTGTTTGCCGAACCCAGAGGCTTTGACACATTATCTTTGCGGTGATTGTAATGGGAGCGACGAAACCATACACGTCAGAAATGCAAGCCAAGGCCAGTAGTAGAAATCGCTTTGTGTTCTGCCAACTTGCCAGAAATTAAATCAGCGCGGACATCTCAAAGACAAACTCATCTTGGTTGGGCCTCCATTCTTCACGGACAACCTTTGCGGGGCTCAAATGCGGTGGAGCCTTAGGGCTGTCTCAGTCTCGGCAAACGATGCCAGTACAACTGGATTGTTTGATCGCCATTTCCTGAGGTTCATGCCTCCCATCTCAAATATAGACTGTGCTTTCTTGCATATCTGTTCTGTCTATCCTACACTGTCAGCACCAAAAACAAAGTCATTGACATACAGGTTGTCACCTAGGATTTTAGCGGTGCGGGAAAGTTTCTTTTCGGCACCGTTCAAATGATGACGTAAAGTAGCTGCGAGGAGGAATGGGCTGTACATAGCACCAAACGGTACCCTTGTTATCCGGTATTCTTCGATTGGGGGTGGCATTTCGCATTGCTTTGGTGTACTTTGATACCACAGAAAGCGGAGGGTGTCTCGATCCTTCTCAGGCATCTAAATTTGGAGAAAAGCTTTTTCTATGTCAGACATTATGGCCATATTGTGCACTCGAAATCGAAAATTAGAATGTCTGATAAACTTGCATTTAGGTTGGGTCCTGCATAGAGAACATCGTTCAGTGATAGCTTCCCTGCTGCTTTGGAGGACGCATTGAATACAACCTTAACAGGTTCTTTCGCTACGTGGCTGGACAACGCCTTGGTGTGGCATGTAATAAATAAGCCCCTGCAGGTACTCACCCACTTCGTTTACTTTCTGAGCGTGTCCGGCTTGAAGGTAGTTTTTGGTCACAGGATTTTTTGGTCATAGGAAGGATTTTTTGGTCATAGCTGCGGATCTTTTCGTTATTTTGCAGTAGTCTCGCAGAGCGTGAGTGAAGCCTGTGCGATGCCCTTCTGCGATGAGTTCTTTTTCTATGGAAGCCTAACTTCTTATCGACTGTTCTTGTGGACGATGGTGTCCTAAATGCCCTAAGGAGGTCGTCATTTCCAGTGGTGGGCGGGGCATCATCAACAATGCCAAGGTGTTCCAGTTCCCAGAACGATCTAAGTTGTCGTGAAATGTCGTCTGGGTCCTAGTTCACGCTTAAGCGCATCACGCCGATGCTCGTGGGGTGTGTTGAGGCAGACGATGTTGTGTCTGTGCCCTGCAGCACCCATCCAAACAGTCTCGGTGGCTATGAGCCTCTCGTTGAAGTGCTTGATACTGCTTGTTATGTCCCAGTAGTAATCAGCTCCAACAAGCAGCTCAATTCCAACTTCAGGCTGGTAGCCGTCAGCAAGTTTGAGACCTTATTCGTGTTCGAGGTGGGTAACGTGGTCGTCCGGTGGTGGCAGCAGGTCTCTGCTGATCTCAGGCATCTCAAGTGTTTCTATGTGGACTCTGGGGTTGTTGTGACAGTTTTTTCAGCCACATCACTCTACCCTATGACAGCGTCTTTCCTCCAGCGGCGTCCAGTTTCTGAGGACATTGATGGTCAGCCTCTCCTCTCCTGTGTCATGGAGCTTTAGAAGACAGGAAACCCCGCTTTCGTATGAATGTTCTCTGGCTACCACCGTCAAGAAGCATTCGCACCAAATCAGTCATATTCTCTCCTTCTGCAAATGCTCGTGCCGTCTGTAGAAGTACCCTTGCCTTTCCTCAGGTTCGTTCCACCTGTAGTGATGACTTGTGACACCGGCTGCTGAAGCACCTTCAATTGAGGGAGGCGGCACAGCTCTTTGGTTGAGCTAGCAGACGTTCATTGTGTGCCGTCCTGAACACTTCGCACACTTGAGCCACCTCGATGTTCGGCACTCGGTGGCACGGTGATTTCTTTTCGCACACTTGTAACTGCGCCGCTCCTTTGACATCACTACCATTTTCTTGTATATTGGACCAGAGGTGATACAGCTT